GATCTTAATAAAATATCATTAAATCAACAATTTAATTAAATTAAAAGAATTAGTTGGGAAAAATGGTCTACCCGAAAACATGTTTATTGTAATTTTATTTTTTATATAAGTATTTGTGAATTCAGGTTTTGTAATGTACCCGGGCAGTATGCCTTTTTGAATTTTTCATTGCAATATTTATTTATTGAACGCTAATTTACTACTCGTAATATTACCTGTCCGATAGTGAAAAGTTTTTTAAATGAAACCTGAAATAAAAAACTCGGGAACTAAAAAATGTTAGTACAAAAAATATACTTCGTTATTTGTCGGGGAAGGGAGTGTCCACTGTCCATGCATTTTATCACTAAATTGTCATAGTCAGAATAAGGAAACCTGTTTATCAAAACTTTTTAGAATAACGGCTGAAAATTACAAGTCTATCCCTTTATCTTACAGATTTTATTTTAGGTATTAGGTACACTGTTCGTGAATGAATGAAAAACAAACCTGAAAGTTTGTCGTTGATAAGAGCGCGGTTTTGACTGTACATATACTTAATAGAAAATTCGTATTGATTTGACTAGCACCCTGAAAAAAAATTGTATTTATGATACTATGAGTCATCCAACGTCGACACGACATTGGAAAACGTACACGATTACGTTGCGTCAGTTTGCAGACTGTCTGAGGAGAATTTTTTGGCCCATTCTCGAGTTTTCGCTGGCTTTCGGCCAACCAGGGTAGTAGGGCTCTTAGGGAAAAAACAGCTAAATTGGAAGTACTGTAACTTTGGAAATGCTCAACCCCCAGAACTTACATTGTATATGTAAATGTATAGATTTGTATACCACTTATCTAAAATTCCGGATAAAACACAATTTCCTACTACTCCATTTTAGATATAATGTTTTTACAAGTACTGCGCTTATTATTGTATTATTGCATATAAATTTTAAACAATAAGTAGATACGAAATTTCAGTGAAATTTTACTTCTATTAAACTAAAGCTAAATTAAATAAAAATGGAGCAAAACCCCTTGGGTTNTTGACCACAACGCGTGTTGCGTGAACGTTATGATATTCTTCCCCAACGCGCGTTATTGATATATTACAAAGATCCGCACACTATACGAAAACAAACCACGATTTCTCCATCATGAGTACTGTGTATTGTGAATAGCCACAAGTTAGTTTTCACCCTATGAAAGTTTCGTTGCGGTTGACCTGATTCAATTTCAAATCAGACCAAACATTTCCAACCAAATCAAGAAGACTGGAAACATTGGCGGTATCGCCCAATACACTAAATAGCTTCAAACCGCAACGCCAAACACACAACACTAAATTTTTATGTAATAAATTCGGTTCCTTAGAAACTGAAGAAAACTAAGTTCTCTGCAGTCCCTGAAGAAGACCACTATGTTACCAAAAAGTATATACTTTGGACGTGTGTTATAGGGTCGTGCTTTGGCGTTGGACTTTGAGCTATTTAGAGTGTTCTGTATATCGCCAAAGTTTATAGATTTCTTGATTCGGTTCGAATGACGCTTGGTCTAATTTGAAATTGAAATTCTTCCCAACCGAATCAAAAGACTCGAAACATTGGCGATGTCGTACAACACAATAAATAGTTCCAAACCGCAACGCCAAACACACAACACTTAACTTTTCAGTAACACATTCGGTTGTTTTTTATAGTGTCGTGTTTCGGCGTTGTGGTTTAAGCTAATATTTAGAGTGTTCTATACACTGC